CCATCAAATCAAACACGGGTATCAAGACGCCCTAGATCGACCGTTAGATAAAACAGCATAAGCGACTGCAACCGTTTTGCGCAAGGCAAGCAATTGTGGGGAAAGAGGACACCACACAGTGCGCTCGATTCCCAATGTAGACCGATAGTAAATGTGTTGAATGAATACTATTCGCCTGATTCGCAACTCAATCATATAAACGCAGATAAGGCACCTTCAATGGTGATAGCCTCTAAGTAATTGGGATACGTGAATTGTCAGAAAAGGTGCGGCGGTGCGCGCACCGTTGGTGCACGGCACGTCCTACCTCGTTATTCAACTAGAGGTACTAGTAATGACAAATTGTACTTTAACACAGTACTAAGTGACAGCGGAGAACATTCTCAGTATCCCACTGTGTTTCCTTACGCGGCACTTAATCAAATATAATTGAATAGATTCTGGTTGGCAAGCTTTCTATTTCCAACAGAAGTGAGTCCCGGTGGGTGACACTCGATTTGCAAATCTGAGAGAATTTTCTACTGATTACCCTAGAGGTAAACATGAAAACACGCAAATGCTTTATCCGCGTTATTCGAAATAATCAAGAATGTGTGCTTATCAATCGGGTTTTGGATCAAACCACAAATGATCGGCATTCCAACGGAGGTCATATCTAAGTGATTTCCGACATGAAAATAATACATCATATAGCGTCAAATCCTTTTCACTATGGTGTTGTGAGTAGCTCGAGTGCATCAAGAACTGGATGTTATGTTCCCAAGGGGTCCGCGAGTGGAGACAGGCTGTCAGGTTGTCGATCATGGATGAAGAAATCACAAAAATACTAATCAATTAATGAAAATTAGATGTTTAGTTGGACGTGATCTTATCTACCTTTATCTAGTGTTTTTCTCTGTAATACCTCTCCTCGTGCCGGTACTGTTTTGTGGATATATAACAGTAGGACTAAACGGTTATAACTGGGCATTCATCAATTCTTTAAGACTGAACTTCTAGGCAATCGTTTACAACGGCGAAAGACTTCTGTAGTCGGATCAAGACGAAACTGAAGCTATCATAGGTAAACAACAATCGGACGGAATGCGATAGGTTTTGTATCTCTTGAGACCAACAAGTTCAATAGAATTAATTTTCTATGACCGTAAAATCGATCAGTTAAAGAAAGATCAGGAAAGTAGAGGTTCGAAAAAAAACTCAGTCTCATGACCCTACAAGACTGAACTTGATGTCTCAATCAGCACAGGTAACAATGGTCGACTGCAACTGAGTCCTTGTCAGAACCGAGCGTTTATCTGACAGCCGCTCCTTGACAGTGTCCACTCACCAAACCCTAGAACAACAAATTGTACAGAATTTTATAGTGTATCGATCATCAAGTAGGATGATCAAGATCGAACAGTTAGTTGGATACAGTTGAGTTGCAAGTGTCAGATGCTCAAATACTCCTTGATTTAATTTGATTCAATTTCAACTACTCAGACCTGTACCTACCACAGCAGTAGTGGAAGACAGCTTCGGGGAATAGACATAAATACAGGAAGAAGGCGATTCTCAAAGCACACACAAAATTGGCAAATCCCGTAGTGTACGCTGCTGCATTTCAGATATCGACGGTCACAAACATGAACAGCATGAACGAAATGCTCACAACAATCCGAGTTCATTTTAATTGCGCATATCTGAACAGTCTCAGATGGCTTTATTTGGAAAGGCTGATGTGAGTTAGCAAACACAAAGAAACATGGGAAAGAATGGGTTGTCAAAACTAGTAGGTTTTGCTGGTTGCTCCGGTCTTACCGATTTCGACGCCTGAAAATATTCACAGACCATCAGAAACGGCACATACATCCAGAATCACAAGGTTTCAAATGATCAAATGGAAAATAGATAGATCAAGTACGTGCACCACTGGGTGAATAAACATAATACGAACCTGTTTTTGATAAATTTCTTCAGAACAGCTTCGCCATAGAACACTACTTGATAGACAGACCGATAAGCGGACAGCCAGGCAGAAATATGGGGTGGGGGAAGGAAAGTGGCACCGTACACTGAAGGTGCATTGATGAAGGTAGGATATCACACTATTTGGGGAGAAAACTGGTCTCTGATTGATTTGCGGCGTGATCAATACTTGGAACTTTGTGCAACATGTATTCCGGCATCACAAGACAACACCATCAACTATGAGTTGACGTTGCTATGGTATATTATTGGTGTTTAATCTATACAGTGATAAGGAACCTTTGCAGTCACTCGGCTCACGAGTTCACTACTTTGAATGGCACGGCTTTGGTGGACGACTATCCTGATTGAAGTGAGTCATTGTGATCAGGAGGTTTATTTCTCCCTCCCTCCCATCCCCACTGTTCATCACGCTAGGATGTGAAATAATCAAAAATTATATGCATGTGACTAAGATTAGCGAAAAACACAACATACATCGGCCTCCCTAAAACGGAAAACCCTCTCGCCCAGTCGTCCAACCAGATGACTCTTCACTGAACTGGCTGAACGCAAACCATCCTTTTATTTAGAGATTTGCTTTCAACTATCGAGATTATTCCGAACAAAACCTTGACATTGATATAAAGAGTATTTTCATGCAGGCTATAAACAGGCTGATCAAAATGGCAGAAACACTCTGTGTTGGAGCCTGAAATGCCGTACAGCGCTTTTGCGACAAGTCTATCACTACTCTGATCTTATGGGGATGAAGATTACACACACCGAATTACCGCTACCTGAGGGGAGGGGAGGAAGAGATCGACGTTCACAGACAATCTACACCAGGCCCTTGGGCGGATTCATTACCCATTGTGGTTCATCTGAATCACTTTTCACGGTACAGCTTTCCATCCTACGAAGAGCTGAAAAAATTGTCCACATTTATTATTCATCAAGTGAGATTATAAACTTGATACACCTGATTTGTTCATCGTCATTTACTGATGAGGAGTCATGTAACCAATGCAAACCCTTACGGACCCTAAGATATAGAGCACGCCTATAGACACGGGATGGTAGTGCTCACACTCAATCGAAGTTATCGGAGGCAGATGCTTTGCTCAACTGCATATAGCTTAATAAAACAACATATATAAACAGAATGAAAATTGAGAGCTAAAGTGCAAGCTAACTGCGGTGTAGGCTTATTAGCTTGTTCCTATTCAACAAACTTTAAATCAAGATCCGTGGATACAGGAATGTTCAATTGCGCATGGTATGTGCAACCAGGTACTGTTCCGAGGACCTGAGTATTCCAGTTTCCATGAGTCAAACACACGAGCACACAAGTGGTTCGTTCCCACCCAGGGAGAAAAATATGATCACACAGGGATAGTGGTGGGGTCTCAACTGTGACAAACAAACTGATGCTTACCGGTGGAAAATGCGTCGGCTAGACAAAGGACCACATAAACCGGTTTAGTTTGTGAATCAATAGACAGACCAAAACAATGTGACATGGTCATGCTAAAGTACCGCACCGGTGAGGAGGAGCGGAGTCTATTTGGATGAGACAGTGTTGGACTACAGTAATAAACATGAATAAATGGACGATTGACTACCAGACAGGGGGTGGTATCAGGAACAGAACTCACAGGAGACCTTGCTGGCTCCGCAGACTAATCACCGATTTGTTTGGTTCCGCGTTGTTCAGATCTTGTTGCATTTTGCCCAGTTTACTCTGGGCCTCGTTCAAACTTCGATCACCACCAAGTTGCTCGTATCGATCCTGACAGACGAATCAAAAAAAAACAACTATAAGAGAATAACAGATAATTCTTTCCAGATTAACAGTTTTTGATACCTGTCAGATGTGTTTGAGACAACTTCAGTTCACGCAAAGAGAGACAGAGTACTTGCGGTTAAAAGAATTGGGCATTTTAAAAATAGAATAAAACACCGACACGCTTCCTGTATTGAATACCTAACCAATCCATTAAGTAATCATTTCACCCATCGATTACAGTTTACTAAATACAAGGGTCGCAACTCTTCACGTTGATCCTCCACTCAAGTTCTTCAAGGCGCTATTCTCTCTCTCCCTTCTTGTTTACAACCTACATTTCTTCCATGCCTGCTTTCGATGATTGCTCATTAGGTATGCGGATGATGTTGCGTATGGCATGAAGTTTTCGGATTCCTCCGTGTACCCCAAAGTGATGCAGAATATCTCATTGCCCACCGACTGGTCTTCACAAAACAACTTTAGAATGAATCCTTTCCTTGCTGAAGGGTGACCAATAAATTGATGTAATGAACTCTTGACAGAATGTCATTATCAACGGAGAACAAAGTCCCAGGGCATGCTCCGCCAAATATCTTACCATTTTCCGCAACCTGTTTTAGCCTCCTTATGTCGTTGAGATGTTTCACAAAGGCAGAAAACTCACGTTTTACATTAATTTTTTGAAAGTGCTATATATATATATATATATAACTCATTTTATAAAGCGTTTTGTCTTCTCTTTGATCCTTCCCCACTGGCTTTATGCATCCTCAGTTATTTTTTCGGGTCTTTTACTAAAATACTCCAGATTCCTGCGTACATCTATCGAACAGATATGTTGATACAGTGGTATATCCGCGAGCATATTGTGCAGTTTATTATTTCATAGGACTTTAGGGCTTGCCAGAAAATTTCAAACAGAACACTACTAGACCGATCTAACCAATTGTACTCTCACCTTAGCAAATGTGTTTCTACAACTAGCACTCGCTCTAAGTATAAGCATATAGCAGCACGCACCACAACATGCAAGTCTTCCGCAATACCGTATTTGGCACGGGTCCTTATTAACGCCGATCATGTCATTGGAACCCTTAAATAACAAATTTGCTCAATTTCCATTATTTGTTTGTAAATGCAGCGTATCATCATCCCTTATTTTACCATGCCATTTCCACAAGTGACTGTGTAGTAGCTGAATGTCTATCCCCTATGGGGCGAATTAGGCCGCTTCTTGAACTGAACCAAATGCCCTTGAGATGGCAACAACCGCGCCAAATTTTATATCACTTTTCTTTGTAAGGTAGGTGTTCCTAAGATATGCAAAAAATGGGCTTCCGATTCAACTTTCATCAACAATAGATCATTGGCAATCTTCAGCAGCACGACTTCTCAACCAATCACAGCATCCGCTGTAATTCAAACCCCGGCTGGCCAGATAAGTAGTAAGGTTGTCTGGATAGTTCCCGTGTCATTGTACCTGTACCGTTTGACACGACGATGTGAATGAGGTTAGAATGCGTGTTCAAATTTCACCTGCTCTTTTTGGAAAACCCTCACTCACCAAGAACCTGTTTGGCAATGGTTCTTTGCTCTTCCATGAATTCCTTCTGCGCATTAAACTACGCATCGCCCCGAATGCCCTGTCGTTCCGTGAATCCTCGTAGTTTGTTTGGGCTCGAATCGTCATCTCATCTAACCAAAAATGCGAACTGGGGAATATCCTACTGCGCATTCGAGATGATTCCACTGAGTTTAACAAGCTTAAAGAGCGTTGTATACCATAGTTACATGCGGTACCCGTTTTACATTCAACTGGGTCGATCCATCCGCAAATCTCACTCTAACCAGGTAAGAATCAGAAAGGTTTTCCGCTTCTTTACTTAGGTAGCGAAACATTCCCTGACAGATGAATCTCAAATAAAAAGTATGCTTATCGTTTGGCACCGTCGCAACAGCTGATTTAGCGTGAAGATGTGAGTGTATCCAACTTTATGGTAGAAGGACATCATCACTACGAATAGCCGGCATTCTACTATGCGTGCAACCCTATACGAATCCGAAAGAGCATAGCGAAGTTTGAGTCAGATGTAACAGGCAATCTCGCGCTTCAAGTTCATAGATCAGAGTTCACCGAAAAGACTTTCTTGATATGCGAAAATTTCTCGTGTCAGTGACAGTTCGGTAAAACACTAATAATAGCC